AAAAAAAAAAAAAAAAGAAAGAAAGAAAGAAAGAAAAAAGAGATCAAAGGAGAGATTTTATGTGACAGCACCTAAAAACTATAGAACAATCCTCTAACAGAGTGTCCCTGTGATGACTGTCCACGCTGGCACAAAATGCATAATAAACAGCAAAAATGTAAGATTTCTCCTAGTTGCAAAGGATAAACTACCTGACTATATGCCTGTCCATAAAATTTACAGAGGAGAAATGAAATTCCTCGGGCTTAACCTCTAAAGGAATTTTGCCACCTTGTCTAATAGAAATTGGAAAAGCAGGAAAGGCAATGAGAACAGACGGACAGACCAGGAGAAGCAAACAGCCTCCCCTGGGAAGAGAGGGGCAGAGGTGGGCATGCGGAATGTGCTGGGGACTCTGAGCAGGCCCCTGTGGGTGGAAGGAGGAAGCCCAGTGAAGACAGAAGGTGGAGGGTGACCGTGGGAGGGCAGTGGGGAACAGGACCAAGAGCCAGGAAGGAAGCTTCAGATGCTGGTGATGATGGTGCCCATAGGGCAGATGGCCCAGGTCAATCCCACAATGCGGACCTCACCTGAGAGACCCGAGTCTCAACAATCCCGATTTGGGTTCCAGACTGATCGTCTCTGAATGACAAACAGGGTCACATCCTTCCCTGTCTGGGATCTCCAGGTACCTCGGTAGAGGATAGACTCCCTGTGTGTCCCGCAGCCTCCCCTCAATCTGGCTCCCCATCTTCCCTGCCTTCCTGCCTTGCTCTCACCACCCTGACCCATGCTGGCCCCCAATGCCAGGGTCCAGAGAGTCTCCAGCCCATGCTGTGCTGTCCCCGGCCAACCCCTCCAACAGAAAACCTGGCAGAATGAGACGTACCACAGCTAGTCCCCAGCCCCTTACACAGGGTGGACTCTGTTCCTGTCACAGTGGGGTTTGCAGTGAGGATTCAGCCAGTGCTCCAGGAACTGCTCCTCCGCGCGGTGCTCCAGGGCAAGCAAGTAGTGCATGTGCTCCTGTGGACACAAAGCCACAAGGAAGAAGGCGTCACCCACAGTGACCGCTGAGCTGCCAACCTGCATGCATGCTGGGGCTCTGCCTCCTGAGACGGGTGCAGCCTGGCAGAGGAAGGGTGGGAGGCAGACAGGGAGGGGAAATCAACCTCCACGGCCACGCCTCCCTCAGGGAAAACCAATCAGATCCACCCACTCGCTGGACAAAATAAAGAAGTCTGGCAGGACTGAGCGCCAGGAGGGTGTCTCCACAGGACACTCTCGCTGGTGAACTGTAACAACTGGCTGCTTGCAACCCAGAAATTTTACCCTCACTTTGTACTGTGGAGCAGTGCACCTCACACTGTTGATGTCAGGCTCACCTGGAAGGCTTACTAAAACTCAGATTTCCAGGCCCAGTCCCAGAGTTTTTGACTCAGCAGATCTTGGATGGGGCACAAGAATTTGCATGTTTCACCAGTTCCCAGCCCATGGCAACACTGCTAGTTGCTTTGAGAATAAAAGAAACTCTCACATCAGGAAAGGTGAATAAAAATGTTTCTAGCAGCAGCAATAAATTCACAGTAGCAAATACGCACTGAGTGAACGATAGGGCCGCACCATAGGATTATACAGCAGTGACCATAAATAGCTACTGGTGACAACTTAGGGCTTAGAAATAGTGTGGTGAGTGAAGACAGCAAGTCCCCATGGGCTACATTTATAGCGTGACCCCATTTCTATAAAGCTCAAAACAGGCATAACTGCATAACATATTACTGCTGGCTACATTGTCTTTTTTAAAAGGCAAGGGGTGACCAGAAAAAAGCTACAGTTTCTGTACTAATGATCAAATAAAATGACTTTAAAACACAAAAATGCAACTAGCGACAGAAGTATTTTGTAAAAACAATCCAGCAGTTCCTCAAAATGTTATTAAACATAGAGTTAGCATCTGCAGTCTTAGCTGGAGATTGTCCTTACAGGTGTATAAGGACAATACAAGGAAAATAAAAATGGATGTTCACACAAAAACTGGCACATAGGTGTTCGTAGCAGCAGTACTCATAGTAGCCAAAAGTTAGAAACAACCCAAATGTCCGTTAACAGATGAACGGATAAATAAAATGTGGTGAGTCCATTCAGTAGAATGTTACTTGGCTGCTAAAACGAATGGAGTCCTGACCCATGCTACATCGATGAACCTTGGGAACATTACACTAAGTGAAAGGAGCCAGTCACAAAGAACCACGTGCTGTATGGGTCCACTTTTATGACATGTGGCCAGCTCTACATATTGTGGTGTTCACTATAGCAGGCAGCTCCTTGCCCTGTCCTATGCTGACCTTCTCTGTGATCAGCACCCGTCAGGAACCCCAGCCAGGACAGACTCACTGTCTCCCTCACCTGCAAACTTAATGTAGGACTGACATCAGGACTTGGAGTCTACCTCCTGAGTGTTCCTCAAGTGCCTTCCCTCTGTCTCTGACACTTCTGCTGGTCAGGTTTTCACTTTTTTTTTTCCCTTGAGACAGTCTCACTTTGTCACCATTGGTAGAGTGCTGTGGCATCATAGCTCACAACCTCAAACTCTTGGGCTCAAGCGATTCTCTTGCCTCAGCCTCCCAAGTAGCTGGGACTACAGGTGCCTGCCACAACATCCAGCTATTTTTAGAGACAAGGTCTCACTCTGGTTCATGATGGTCTCCAACCTGTGAGCTCAGGCGATCCACCCACCCCGACCTCCCAGAGTGCTGGGATTACAGGTGTGAGCTACTGCACCCAGCCTAGGTTTTCACCTTTATCCACAGAGGTCGCTGCAGCCTCCTTACCCTCTGTCTATCCCTCCACCTTGCATTCCACCCCACACCTCCCCATCCCTGCTCCACCCTGATAGAGTGACCCGAAAGGGCCACCGTCCTCCTCAGAGGCCTTCACCAGTGCTGCCTACCTACAAGGAGGCAGGAGGTTGTGATCACCTCTACCCCTTGGGTTTCTTTCATCTGCAACTCTGGATGACATACTCATAAGCCAACAAGTGAGGACAGCTGTGTGTAGGATCCACCACCTTCTCCCACTCCTCACAGCAGCAGAGGGTGGCCCTGCCCATCCACAGCTGTCCATGACAGTCACTGACAGCCCCTGCTGGTCTCCAAGCTTCTCTAGAACCACAATTTTTCCATCAAATGTGTCATCTGAAGAAACTTTACTAAAGGAACCATTCACAGCCATGTGAGCAGGGTCAAGGGAAGCAGCACAGAGCACCCTGGCACCCAGGTACTAGCAATAGAAGAAAGCCACAGTCATGCCAAGGCCGCATTAGAGGAGCTGACAGGGCTGGGGTCCTGGGCTGGGGCTGCTGTGGTCTGGGGGATTGGGGATGCAGCCCCTGCAGGCTGTGACAAAGCTGGGAACAAACTACTTCCTCTCTCCTCTTACACGTAGGCTCCTGCCAAGGCCAGTGAGAAGCCAGCCAGACAGGGAACTGGGGGTGTGGCCCATGAGAATCAGCCTCCTGTAGCACAGAGCATGGCAGAGCAGGGTGGAAGGTGGGCAGGGGACAGGCAAAGAAACCTGCTCACGAGCAGTGAGTGAGGGAATGGGGCAGAGAGCACAAACAGCAAGTAGCCCAGACAGCCTCAGAGCACACCCTTCTCTGCAGGTGCTTGTGTTTTCCCCTCCTCTCTGTTTGCCCTTCGTCCACATGGATGTCATTTCCAGCCTTTGGGGTGGACCTTCTCCTCCCAGATGTGTTTTAATCTGCAGCAAAGCCAGTTCAGCCACTGATCAATGGCTGATCATTGCATTAGCTCACGCAGATAATGCACAAACCAGAAAAGTGATAAATCAGCAGGATGTCTCAAACAGAACAAAGCATTACTTCTCTTGTCTTAATCAGTTACAGAACCTCTTCACTTCTCTCTCCATCTTCTGGTGCAATCTCTGGCCCACAGGCACTGCCCAGGCTACCAAAAGTGGTTCATCAAATCTCTGTTCACTTCACACCATGGCTGAGTAGGCCAAAAGCTCCTCCTCCTTACCCTCCAGGCCCACCAGCCGGCAGCCCGGCTCCTACAGACACTGCTGACTCCAACCCACACGCCTTCCCCTGCCCCACACCAGGGGCTGGCGCCTCTGGCCTTACCTCCTTCCTCTTGTGGGGTTTTTTCCTTTGTTTGTTTTGTCTCCTTAATAGATTTTATTTTTAGGAGCAGTTTTAGGGTCATAGTAAAATTGAGCAGAAATACAGAGATTTCCCATATATACCTTGTCTGTTCCCTAACCTCCCCCAATATCAACATCCCCACCAGCATGGTACATTTGTTATAATGGAGGCATCTTTTTTTTTTTTTGCAGTTTTTTTAGCTGGGGCTGGATTTGAACCCACCACCTTCAGCATATGGGGCTAGCGCCCTACTCCTCGAGCCACAGGCGCTGCCCAACAATGGAGGAATCTTCATTGGTGCATTGTTATTAAGGCTCATTCTCTGTGTTGTACATTCCAGGCGTGTGAGCAAATCTGCACTGACATGTAGCTGCTGTTGCAGTATCACACAGAACATTTTGCTGCCCTAATACTCCTGACCTGGCTCTGCCTGGTCATTCTTCTAACTCCTGGAAACTGGTCATCTTTTTACTATCTTCATAGTTTTGTCTTTTCCAGAACGTAATATAATTAGAATCCTACAATAGTGCCGCCTTTTCAGATTGGTTTCTTTCACTTGGTAGTATACATTCAAGATTACTCCGTGTGTGTGTGTGTGTGTGTGTGTGTGTGTGTTTCTTTTTAGCAGTGAATAACATTCCATTGTCTGGATGAAGCACTGTTTTATTTACCCATTCACTTTCTGAAGGATATCTTGATTGCTTCCAAGTTCGGGCAATTATGAAGAAAGCTGTTATAAACATCTGTGTGCAGGTTTGTTTTGTAGACATAACTTTTCAGCTCCTTTGGGTAAATAAACAGGGAGTGCAATTACTGAATTGTATGTTTCATTTTATAAGAAACTGCAAAACTGTCTTCCAAGAGGCCGTCCCACTTTGCATTCCCAGTAGCAATGAACGAGAGTACCCGTCACCCCCCATCCTCACCAGCAGTTGCTATCATCCATGTTCTTGATTTTGGTCCTTCGAATACAGTGGTTCTCAACCTGTGGGTCACAACCCCTTTGGGGGTCGAACAACGCTTTCACAGGAGTCGCCTAAGACCATCAGAAAACACATATTTCGGATGGTCTTAGGAACCAAGACACAGCTCCTCTATCCGTCTCCAGGCAGGTCCACCCACATGCAGATAGACCCACATATGAGTACCTGGCATGATGACATCATTGCGCCAACCCCATCACACACACCCCGTACAAATACAGGTGTATATGACAGAGTTGGCGCCATAATGTACTTATGTGGACCAGTCACACATGTGTAGAGAGCAGCTGCTGTGTTGAAAGCAGCTACTCTGCTAAAAGCAGCTTGTGTTGAAAGCAGCAGTATTGGAGGTAAAAGGACACTTCATGAATTATAATTACCGGGTAAATGTAAAATCATGTACTGTAAAATCAACTACTGCAAAAAAAAACATACACATATATATATATATCTGTACCATGGAACTTAATCTGGATGCTGATCCATCTTTTTATATTCAGCTGTGGTTGATGTGAATACTGCCCCCTTGTGATAGCAACAGGTATGTAAAAAAAACAACACAATGGTAAATCACAGGAAACTTGAATGAACTGTATGGACTGAACTATGCCATGTATCATCTTTTGTATTATTAAAGCTATTGTCATATATTATTTTCATTAGCAAACCATCCCGTGACAATGGATTGGGTAGAGAAAAACATTAAGAAAAGAAAATATAGTAAGGATTTTTACAGTATGGTTTTACCTCAATAATTACAGCAGGAATTGCGAAACCGCAATGTGTTATTTGTTGCAAAGTTCTATCAGCCAAATTTATGAAGCTGAACAAAGTAAAACGCCATTTTGATAGCAAGCACCCAAACTTTGCCGGCA